AAGATATACTACAAGAAGACGCTGCTCTATGCTGGCCTTCATACGCAATAGGATCCGGGTTGTCCAGGATGCCGAATTTATTGGACAGCAGCAAGATCTCTTCTAACAAACTACACGGACTGCGATGACGTCTCCCGGCTTTCCTCAGCAACAAGCATCCCCGACCCAACCATGCAGGTGCGAAGGCCATCGCTGAGAACTTGACGCTAAGATCATTCTTTCACTTGACACCATTCGGCGTTGGATTGATCCGTTGCTAAGCCGGGAGGCTGTTCCACATTGGAAACTGCGGGTGCATCAGGGCGCTTAGCCACGCATCCCTCCGCGTGCTGGCGTCGTCAGCCATTCACAGCCGCAGAGAGTCCTGCGTTTGTTCACTAAGTAACGCACACGCTGTGCGCTGCTTGTCTGGCTTACGCTCGATTGAGGCACGTTCACGGTCACGTGCTCGGTTCATTTAAACCTGATGTCAATGAACCACGCAACTTGGATCCAACCGTCATCATCTCTTCCTCCTCTCTTGCTCTTCCTCGCCCTCTGCCCTCCTTCAATTCTCGAGAGCTGCAGAATGCGACGCGTGGATATTGCTTGCGGTGTTCTGTTCGCTATTGGACGCTCTCTTGTGACGTGGCAACGACTTTATGTAAGCTGGAGACCTTGAAGGCTGCACAGGAGCTCTCCCTCGCCTGTCTGTTTTAGCTGTTGCCTCAAAACTGGTACCGGGTTTGTACATGTAGTCCGCTTAACTGGATTCCATACCCTCTGCGCTTAGCTCTGTTTTCTGCCGGCTGGCGCTGTCTCTGTCTGGTGCTGTTCTTGTCCGGCTGAATACTCTCAGAACACTTGTCTAGCATGCGTTTTTCAAGGCGTTGCCTGCTGGGCTGTACATTTGATATTACTGAGGTGCTTGCAGCAAAAGTATAAGAGCTTCTCCTTGATTGGTAGGGATTGTACTTGGTGCTCAGCGTCACCGCGCTTGCACACTTACATCCGCCAATGGAACAAAGCCTTCCCTACTCAAATTGCTTCGCTGGCACCAATGTAGTGGACATGTACAGTCTTGAGGAGGCTGCGTCTTGTACATACGACTGCCTTCAGTCTGGAAGATGGGTCTTGCATACTTGGATTCTATGGTACTGGAAATGACCGCCCCTTTGCTATCTCGGCACACGCCTGCATTCATTGAGCAATCTATGATTTCTCCTAGGCACCGCGTCATATCTGCTACCCAGGGTTCTTTAACTCGACCTGCTATCAGTGAGAAAGGCAGGGAGTATGCTATTGATGAACGCCTATTCTATTGAGCATCAATAAAGCACCATCCCTACTGGCATTACACTCAGTACAGCGTCACCCCAACTAGATGGGAACCCTCTGACCAGGTCATGTGCTATTAAGTGTTAAACCAAATACCAGTGTGCCGCCATGTAA